TTCTATGTGACCATTTGTAATTATTATTTGTATTTATACAATTTTTCAATTTGCAGAGACATTTGACAGCTTCTAAAATTGATCCTGAAGAAATAAAGACATGGGCAATATTGTAATTTCTGGAATAATTGTGAAATAGGATTTTTATAAATCTTTGCCACACATATGCTATGTATACACCTTTTTCCTATTTACCTATTTGTGGCTTCAGTGAAAGAAACTTTTCAGAATTAAAATGAACAAAAAGTGGTCTTCAGTCAATAATGAGCAAAGATAAATTGATGCGTCTGGGTACACTATCTAATCAATGTGAACATGTGAAAAAGATTACTTTTGACAATGTCATTGGCAAGTTTTGAGAAAGTAAGGGTCGAAAACAAAAATTGTAATATTATTATTTATTATGATGACATACCTATATATGGGTATAAATTCTTTCTCCCTTTCCAAAATATATGTTAATATGATTGAAAATATTTTATCCATATAATTAAAAGTAGTTTGTATGATAATATTTATTTTATGTCAATGCACACATTTATATGCACTTTTATTTTTACTGGTCTGATTTTATATATCAAGTTGAATAAAAACTATTCACTACCTATATTTGTTTTCTGGCCGTTATTACCATTTATTCCATTTCATGATTATTACTGAATATTATTTTTTTATATAGAAGAGAGTGAAGTAAAAAAGAAAAAAATGAGGGGCCTGCCCAGTGGCGTAGTGGTTAAGTTCATGCGTTCCACTTCCATTGGCCCAGGGTTCACCAGTTTGGATCCTGGGCGCCGACCTACTCACTGTTCATCAAGCCATGCAGAGGTGGCGTCCCGCATAGAAGAACTAGAGAGACCTACAACGAGGATATACAACTATGTACTGGGGCTTTGGGGAGAAAAAAGAAAAAGAGGGAGATTGGCAACAGATGTTAGCTCAGGGCCAATCATCCTCAAAAAAAAAAAAAAAAAAGAAAGAATCAACTGCTCCAGGTGTTGAATATGCTAGATACACCATGGTTCAAGGAACTCAAGGAGTTGTGAGGAAAAGAGTTATAAGCATCTAACAATAAGAAAATACCACATAAATATCATCTCTTCCTTGAGAAGAATGGGAAGTTTTAAATACAAGTGCCATATGAGACTGATGTTTACATGCTCTATATACACTCTCTCCTCAGTAAAACAGTAGGAAAGGGGCTCAAAGGAGGAGGGATAGTAGAGGTTATATGTGGTATGTGGACAATGTAGCAAACTGGAACCAGGAAACCACTGGAACAGTAGGGTAGCTGGAGCATAAACAGATTCAGAGAAGAGAAGGTGGATGGGGAAAAGATGGTGAGGGGCACATTTTCACTATGAAGTATCTATTGATTATAAAGAGAGCCTTGGGTTTAATCAAAAATTTTTAGGCACTCTAAGAAAGGACTCAATATCAATTACTTCATTTGTAGAAAGCATAAAAATAACACTGAAAAGGGTGCTGTGAATAAAGCTAAGTAATTTTCGTGGTCTGTCCAAACCAGGGGATACATACATAAATGATTTAAGTAAATTTTTTTGTCTGTATCCTCCAAATATGACGTGGAACCAATCAGGGTGGGGATTGGGCCTCATGCTTCCTTGTATCTAGGATTCTGAGACGATGGTAAATGTTCAGTAGATATTTAATTGCTTAATGGATAGATAGAGGAAGGAAGCAAGGGAGGGAGGAAGGAAGGAGACTCAAGTTAGCATTCAAACTGGAGGTGAAATTTGAGAATTTTTTTTTTCGGTGAGGAAGATCAGCCCTGAGCTAACATCCATGCCAATCCTCCTTTTTTTTTTTTTTTTTTTTGCTGAGGAAGACTGGCCCTGGGCTAACATCCATGCCCATCTTCCTCCACTTTTATATGGGATGCCGCCACAGCATGGCCTAACAAGTGCATCGGTGCACACCCGGGATCCGAACCCGGGCCGCCAGCAGCAGAGCACACACACTTAACTGCTACTTCACAGGGCTGGCCCCTGATGATTTTTTTTTTTTTTTGAAAGTTATAAACATTAATGGGGACGGGACTTTGGAATGTTGCTATCCTGAAGACTTACATTTTTTTTTCTACAATGGTTCTTAAGTGAATACTTTGTTTTTAATAATCTTGTTTTCTATTTAATTAATTTATTCATTTATTTCTATAAGTTTGTATATTTATTTATTTCTCTTTATTCATTTATTTGTATAAATTTTCCAAAAAGTCACATTGGATATATGCCTCAGGCTCTCTTGTGTTTCTTTTTGCTGGTCTAACACTCTTTCTAGGGCATCTATCAAAATAGATATTTATTTGGGAAGAATTTTATTTTTTGAGATTTAATTCTGAAAGCAAATACTACTGTTAACAACAGCTTAATATTTGCAGAAATAAGAGCATGACCAGGCTAATTCAGCTATTCTGAATGCAGTTCTTTCGATTGTTTTATTGACATTATATTCACTCTGACTCAGATTCAATTAATTGTAGTTTTAGTTTATAAAATGTGTTTTTCACTTCTAAGAACTCTTCTCAGATTCCTCATTTTTCTTTGAGGAAAAAACTTGCTGTATGGATGCAATTTTTCATCAAATTTTCACTGAGAATATGAATTAGATAATTGTTGTTTACTGGGTTTTGTTTGTTTTGTTTAGGTTGGTTTGTTTTTCACCTGTTTCTTACATTAATGTTTAACCAGAGGTAGTTTTCTGTGAATACTTAGACTGTCTGTCTCCAACCCTCCCCTGCCCCTTGAAATGCTAAGGGACTTTTTTTCCTAGTTTATCCATACTTGGTGTAATCGCTGTTCAATTGTTTTAGTCTCAGACAAAAAGAGAAGACTAAAGTTTACATTTATTGAAAAAATTTCAAGAGCCAATTGTTCTTGTAGGATTGTGATTAAATCGAGGAAAGTAGTCATAAAAAATAAAGTTATTACGTAAAGTTCTCCCATTGGAAAGTCTGAATTGACAGTAAAAAGCCAGCCTCTTTTTATTGCCTGGAAGGTTCTCTCCTCATTATTGTTCTCTGGTTTTGTTTAGTAGGCTCACTTCTTCCTTGAGCCAATTTATTCACTCTGTGAAAAATCCCCTGCTTTCCAACTATCCTCTGCTTTCCGAGGGCTGCATTATAGAAGTGAAAGCTGATGAACTGATGGATGTTGAGATTAGAGCCACCTTACTACTTTGCAACGTGTCTACAAAAAGTTAGTAAAACTTTTGTGGCAGCCTGGGTAAGATGTAGAAACTCACTTATTTTCCATTGCACTCTCTTCCATTTGGACATGTTGTTAGTGAGAACTGCAGAACTCTCGGCGTATAACACCTCCGTCCAAACCTCTGCACTAAGAGACTTGACAAACTCCGGCATGGCTTCTAACAGCTTAAGGCTGAGTCCCTAGCATCACCCCAGACCCCCGTAAAATGCCTACTTGAGAAAGCTCAATGCTTCCAGGAGAATTTACTGTTTGTTCTAGTCAAAACTTGGTGAAACACAGATAGGCAGGTCCCTGGAGCCCCTCTTAGAGCAGTTACTTTAGAAAGCTTGCAATTATAGATCCTTTCTCTGCCCTTTGAGATGTAAATCTACCACCCAAAACAGTTTCTTCGAGGACCTGAGAGCCATCTCTTTGAAATGCAACCATTCAGGGAGTGAGGGACTTTTACTCTCTGTGGGAAGATATGGGCTTAACTTCAGAGGGGGCCACCATCCTTCAACATGCACCACTGCCTCCTGTCATAAAAGCAGAAGTTCATTTCTCCTCTGGAGAGGCACCAATTAACAAATTCAGATGGCCCAGTCACATGGATTAACCCCCCTTAATACCACTCAGTGCCTTTCCCTTCGCACACTCCAGCCTTTAAAAAGTCTCCAGTCTTTGTTTTGGGGAAGTTGGGTCAGTTCATGCTGGGCTCTCTTGTCTGTTGTAATAGTATTACTGAAGGAAATCTGTCTTGACCGCTTTAATGAGTGTCTGGCGTGGTCTATCTTTGACAACAGTCAGATGTCTCCTTCATGCTACTTGCTTCAAAGACTTGTAAACAGGTTGGATACCTCTGTAGTTTCCAGCAGTGGTAAGTGTTTTCCGTATCTCGTATCTCATTAATTACTATGGAAATTGGAAGAGAGGAAAAAAATCAAACATTTAGCATAATATTTCAGTGCAAGAATCCTCCATAACTTCTTACTTGCAATATAAGTGTATGGAATGGTGAAAGAGGCAGTGTAGCATAACAGAAAAGATCATGAGTTTTGCAGCAAGTAGACTTTGACTTGATTCCTTTCTTCAATATTTTTATTAGCTTCTTAAAATTGAGCAAGGGACTAAAATTTCTATGTCTCATTTTCTTCATTTGAAAATAAGAATAATACCTCCCACATAGACTTGTTGGAAAACTGAGATTGAATGAGAAAACATGTGTAATGGGTAGTACTTAGCTCATAGTAATTGTTCAATAAATAATTTACCACTTCATGTTAATCTCTGACAAATCCCAAAGAGATTTGTTTCCTCTCTCTGTTGTTACAACAATGCACCTCCTTATGGCATCCTTCATAAACCTATCTGTAGGTTTCCTCTTATTAGACAAAGAGCTTCTTCACAGGTATCATTTATCCTTGTATCCCCAGCTCCCGCCAATTGAAAAGATGGGCATTCGGAAAATGTTTACTGAACAAGCGACTACACGAATAAGTGAATTAATGTATAGTTATAGCGAAGTATTGGTGAACTCGAGGTATCAAAATTGTTTAATAGTTTATACAGACCAAGTCAATTAATGATGTCAAATTCAGTTGTGAGAATAATGAAAGCAGCATAAGACATTAGTCTCTTCATTTTTCTCACATTTTGTCTGAAACCAAGATCTATCCATTGTGCTGCCTTATTATTTTTTTAAGAGTCATTAGTCTCAGAAACAGGATCTAACGATACAAATGGGAAATTGCTATGGCAGAGTTTTCGTTTCCTGCTTTTGGATAGCTGGTTGGACAACTTAAGCTCAACTTGTTCAACCTCAGTAAATACCTCTCCCACATGATTTGACTCGTAGATCCTCTTTTGTCCACAGGCAGTTGTCTTAGGAGAAGAGAGAAAAGAGCTCTCAAATGCTGTGTCAACTCGGGAACCCAGGAGAACAATGGAACACCACTCTGAGTTAGAAAATGTGGATGAAGATGGATATACTCAATTAGACTTCAGCTCTCAAGGCATCGCCAGGAGACGTGTGGTCTCAGAGAAAGGTATTTTTTCTTTCTGCCTTCAACATTCTTATTCTCATCAACTAAAACCCATAAGGGGAGAAAATATGAGAGACTTGTGATTTGTAGGGCTTTTATTAATATGTTTTAAAAGGTTTTCAAAAGTCATTGAAGATAATTTGAATGTAACTAAGCCCTTTCTCTTGGCAATCATTCAGTGACTAATAACTAGTATGTAAATTAATTATTCTGATGGCAGAAAATACAATTTCTCTGTTCTGTAGAAACAGACACTTCAGCAGTAAGGACCTGTAATAAGTGTGATGAAATGCAGAGATGAAAGAATTTCAACAGGAGTGGCTTGTTGTTGTTTGATAGAGAGGAGTAAATTGTAGAATGGAGGTCGAGGAAACTTAAATAAGTGTATATGAACAACATCAGGATATTGGAGAGAATGAAAAGATGGGGGCTGGCCAGGTGGCATAGTGGTTACAGTTGATGCACTCCTCTTCGGTGGCCCAGGGATTGCCGGTTCGGATCCTGGGCGTGGACTTATACAATGCTCATCAAGCCAAGCTGAGGCAGCATCCCACATAGAAGAAACAGGAGGACCTACAGGGGCCGGCCAGGTGGTGCAAGCGGTTAGGTGTGGCGCTCCGCTGAGGCAGCCTGGGGTTCGCAGGTTTGGATCCCGGGCACTCACCGACACACCGCTTGTCAAGCCATGCTGTGGTGGCATCCCATATAAAGTAGAGGAAGATTGGCATGGATGTTAGCCAAGGGCCAGTCTTCCTCAGCAAAAAGGGAGGAGGATTGGCAGATGTTAGCTCAGGGCCTATCTTCCTCACAAAAAAAAAAAAAAAAGAAGGACCTACAACTAGGATATACAACTGTGTACTGGGGCTTTGGCGAGAGGAAAAAAAAGAGGAAGATTGGCAACAGATGTTAGCTCAGGGCCAATCTTCCTCAAAAAAAAAAAAAAGGGTTCCAGGATGCCATCTACGAATTTAAAAAAAAAAGAATGAAAAGTTGGAAGATAGGTGAGGGAAAAAAAGCAAACTTTTTTTGTGATAAAGGCCAAAAGGAAGTCGGAAGTCATAGAGTTTAGAATCCTGAATCTGCTATGATTTTTGTGGTAAGAAATGAATTTGGATTTTTTTAAACAAAAGGATGTTCTATGTACACCAGTGAAAGAAAATATATATTAGATGAAGATCCCATTAGTAGGGCATGAGTCTTAAACAAAATGTAAAAGGCATGAAAAATGGAGAAGGGCATTAAAAGATCTCTCTTTTAGAGAATGAGAGGTTTAGTCCCCTCTATGATTCTTCTATTTGACAATGTTTTGAAATGCTCCTACTGCTTATTCTCAGTCAAAGGCAGAGCGATGTTCTTGCTATGGTGATGTTGACATAAAAGGAATTCTCTGTTATCAAGAGAGAGATTGCTACAGGTTTTGACATCAGAATTTGCTCTCTTCTTCTTTCCTGTAAAATCACATTGCACAATTATTTTCCTTTTGCCACTTATGAATTCTTTTCTTGCGCAATCTGTTGGGGAAGAGTGAAGATACTGGATGATGCAAGAGGTAGGGAGGTGTGTGTGTGTTTATGCATATGTGTGAACAAACAGTGAGTTACCTACAATGTGCTCATAATCTCTAAACTAGGTGCTTTTATGTGTGTTAGCTCATTTAATACCCACAATAATCCTTTGAGGTATTATTACTCCAATTTTTCACAAAGAGAAATGAAAAAACAGAGGAATTAATTTGCCCAAGGCAACACATGAGTGAAAAGGGAAGATTACCCTTAGTAACCAGTGCTATTTCCCCTACATTAAGCTGTCTGTTCTAAGAATGAGTAAGATTTCAGGATCCTGGTAGTGTCAAGACCTATAAATATTAATGTGGATCTAAAATTAGGCGTGCATAGATATCACAGCACTGTGCTCAAATTACAGTTGCAGAACCTGAAGAAGTATGCTAAAGCTGGGGAAAAATTCAGACTAACCCTACATGCCTAGATTATCCAGGAATCAGTGATTAATGGTTCATGTTAGAATTTGCCAGATTTTGATGAACTGTAGCATTAAAGTGCTCCATGATCCATCATTCTATTTCTTCACTCAATTTCTGCTCCCTCTGGCTCCTCAGGAACGTGTGCTGCATCTCCTTGTTGGTGTCCCATTGCTGTGACTTTGGGAATCCTATGTTTGGTAATACTGGTGATAGCTGTGGTCCTGGGTACCATGGGTGAGTATTGGTGGGGGATATTAACAATAACAGATATTTAATAAGCATTTATAATGTGCCAGGCACCCTTTTAAAAGCTTGACATGCATAATCTAATTTAATCTCATTATTAACCCTATTGAATTGGTACTATTAATTCTCATTTTATTTATAAGGGACGTGAGAGTCTGGAAGGTTATTTTGTTTTTCTAGAGTCATAGACTAGTTAGTGGTGAGATCGTGATTGCAAATTCAGGTGAATTATCTAAAAAAACTCATACTCTTAACTACATGGTTCTATTACCCTCCTTGAATAGCTGGTTTCAAAGCTGTGGAATTCCCAGGATAAATTAATGGAAGGAAACCAGTGGAGGTAAAAAAGGAAGTACAATATGGTGCTTATCTTCGTAATGAAATAAATTCTCTAAAGAAACTACAAGCTATTTTTATGAGTCTCCTGATTTAAGGAAATTGTTTTATACCTGATCTTTAGTCTAATCTCCTTTGGATATATCAGCAATTACCTGAGGCACTTACTAAGTACTAAGTACTAAGTAGATGTTTTGTGATGGATGAACAAACATTAGATTTTAAATCGCATGCATTGTATTGTCAATAAAGTATTATTGTGCCTTCAGAGAGTCTTCATTAGATTCCTTAATTAGTCAGATGTTTATTGAGTACATTTATGTTATAGGTACTGGGCGGGTTCTCAAGGAGCTCTCATTTTCAACTAGAAGGAAGATAGCTTTATTACTATTTCAAATCTATCACGGCTCCAATTGACTCTTCCATTTACTTCTTGCTTTCTCCCTCAAAATCTTTCTTCTCTACGTACTTCATTTTTCTCTTTTTTACTACACCTACTTCATGGCAGTTCTTTCTTTCTTTCCATCTATGTAACCTGTCAATCTATCTATCTATCTGTCTATCTCTATCTTTACTTCTCCATTAGCAATGTATTATCTATTTATCATTAATCAACATTGTATCCCTTTATATTCCAAGAAAAATATGGGTTTTGGGATTTTAATTTTCAAACATAGTAGAATGACTTTTTTTTCCCTGTCATTATTATGGTTGTTGGTATCTGAAGCTTTTTGGAGATCCAATTCAGGGAGCAAACCATTGAAGAGCAACAACTTTCCATCAAGAAATAGAGAGAACCACAGTCAATCTACACAACCATCTTTAGAAGAGAATGTGGCTCCTACCAAGACTATCACAACTGCAGGCAAGGGCAGAGTTAAAGGATTAATAGAATTCTTGATTCAAAAGGGATAATTCTTGGTGCTAAGACCTGGAGCAGAGGGAATAAAGACAGTACTTTTACATGCAGTGATTGTGCATTCAAGGAAGGCACACAGTAGTATTATCTCAGTATAATACGTACCTGTCTTGTATACAATAAAGTGGTATCATAAACACCCCATGCACTTGGCTGAACAGTTCTAAGTTTTTGTTTTTGTTTTTTCAAATCAGTAACTAATTTATCACTGGATAAGTGTTTAGACCTAAAGGAGATTGTATAATTTGATGTGAAGGAGAGAAATGTGTTCTCTCCCCTTAGGGAGTTGACATTTTAAAGTGATATAATTAGAGTAGCAAACAGGACATCAGAAAGGAAGAAAGAGAGAGAAAAAGGAAAGAAGGGAAAATGGTGCTAAGAATTGAGGCTAAATTAAACACATACAAAAGAGATAGACCTAATAGATGTATTCCTGAAAACTGTAGTTAAATTTGGTTTTCTTTAATCATACAATTTCATTACAATTTTATATACACTTGACCTTTATTTCTAACTGCCTCATAATTGACTATGACAATATTTTGACTTCAATTTTCTATCTTTGGACCCATACCTCATCACTATTGGTATCAAGTAGCTAATAATACAAAACAGAGATACTCTATAATGTGAATAATTGCTCTTTTACTTTTCTCATTTGGAAAGTTGCATTCTGAAATGGATCTCACACCTGTAAATTAATTACTTCAATGTCTACTTCAATGATTGATTTTGAGTTAATTCATTTTAAAAGTTATGACTGAGAAAGGGAGTTCTAGACTGAATTTGAAGGAAAGGAAAACAAGTCAAGAAGGAAAGGAGAATTGACTGTCTAAAACACTGTTTATAGTTACTCGATTAATTTTTTTAATTTTAAATGAAGGGGAGGATTTTAAGGTGGTCTCTTCTGTAATATTATATCCCTATAATTTGAATTGAAAATAAAGTATATTATTAGCAATTCATTGATTATTTAGTAAGTGTCCTCAGGATGAATGGTGTTCGCAGTGAAAGAGTGAATTGTTAGGATATGAACCTCATTATATTTATCTTTTATTTCCAGGAGTTCTTTCCAGCTCTTGTCCCTCTAACTGGATCATACATGAGAACAGCTGTTATCTATTTAGCACATCATTAAGTTCCTGGAATATAAGTAAAAGGCAATGCTCTCTACTGGGTTCTAATCTCCTGAAGATAGACAGCTCAGAAGAATTAGTAAGTGTAGACTTCAATTATAACTATCTGTGGTCTATATTGAGCAGAAAAACAGAGGTAGATTCCAGGTAATGATAATTTTCCCTAAGAGAAAGTCCTTTTTAATATTCTCCATAATTATAATAGCATGCACTAAGTGGGTAAGGTATATAATGTTTTTCTTTTTAATTAATTAATTTAAAAAATAAGCACATTTCACTTTAAAACAAATCTTTCCAAACAGATTCAAGTTTGCATGACTATGATAATCAGACCACTACTCATTTTTGGGGGTTTGGATTTCAATTTTTAAATTTGGTGGACTAAAATAGAAAATTCTCCTCTTTGTCATCATAATTATCAAGAAAAATAGCAGCAATTTTAATATACATTTATAAATCCTTTACTCCTTGCAAGCTACTGGGAAAGGCAAAGAGGTTTAAAAACTAAACTTGCTATTACGATGCTCATATAATTTGTAAGAAAAAAATAAACAATTCAACAGCTGTTAAAAGTTGAATATCTGGTATTGGCAACAAATGCAATAGGAATTCAAAGAGAGATCTCTCTTGACACGAAAAGCTTTACGGAAAAAGTGAGACTTCCAATGCATCATGAACGAGGGATAGAACTGAGATGGGCTATGAGAAGGGGTTAATAGTCAGAAAACATCCTAGACTATACATCTAAACAATCTGCAACTTCCCCGTTTACTTTCACTACTCTCAGGTTTTTGTTTCTGTCATGTCTTACCCAACAGTTCTAGTTCATAAGAAAATTACTGGAAGTAGATGTATGGCGAAGAAAGAGAATGAGACTGGATGTCTTTCTGGTTTTTAGACTTTCCTATAATTGCCACTATATTGTACTATATTTGTTAACAATTCAAATATCATCATTAAACCCCAGGTTACTTATTCATAAAGCAAGCAGTGGGACTAAACTATTTTTAAGTTGTCATGTAACTCTGAGAATCATTTCTTTTTTGTGTGTGTGCGTGTGCCTGTGAGGAAGATCAGTTCTGAGCTAACATCCGATGCCAATCCTTCTCTTTTTTGCTGAGGAAGATTGGCCCTGAGCTAACATCTGCCAATCCTCCTCTTTTGTCGCTGAGGAAGATCGGCCCTGGGCTAACATCCGTGCCCATCTTCCTCCACTTTCTATGGGATGCCGCCACAGCATGGCTTGACAAGCAGTACGTCGGTGAGCGCCGGGGATCCGAACCTGCGAACCCTCGGGCCGCCAAAGCGGAGCGCGCACACTTAACCACTGCGCCACTGGGCCGTCCCCATGAGAATCATTTCTTGACAAAGGTCGTGTAAATTTTTACTTACAATTTGAGGAGAAGGAGAAGGTTGTGGATTTTGTCAGGTAGTTTGAGTGGAGATGACACAATTTTGACGTTATGGATCTATTCTTTATTGAAAAATTAAGCAATAATGACCCTGAAGAAAGGAAATATGCCTTTTGCAACACTGAATGGCATTCAAGAATTACCACTTCTCTCTAGGTTGATGCCAGTGTATGCATGCATCCTTCACCAAGGTGATTCAATCTTTTGTCTCTTTGTCAATGTTGCCAAGAGGGTCTCTCTATCTCTTCTGTCTCTGTCTCTCTATCTCTATCTCTACCTCTCTGTCTCCTTGACAGGTATTTGTATTTATGTTTCCCTACAGGAATTTATAGCAAAGCAAGTGTCTTCCCAACCTGATAATTCATTTTGGATAGGGCTTTCTCGCCATCAGACTGAAGGAGCATGGCTCTGGGAGGATGGCTCAATATTCTCTTCTAACTTGTAAGTATCTGGAGAGACAAAGCTTCATACCCTTTCTCAGAGAGGTGAGACCATGTCAAGCGGTTAAGAATCTGTTTATTGGCCATATAAAGAAAGAGAGAGAATGACAGAGAGTCATGGGGAGAGAGAAAAGAGTGAGCCAGGAAAAAAAGAGAACAAGAGCGTAGAGGAGGTCTTTATAGTCAAAAGAGCTGAGAGGCCATTTGATGCTATCAACACAAGCGTTCCCTCAGCTTTCTTACCAGAAGGGCATCTCTTTGAAGTTGTGCAGTAAGGAGTAATCACTGTCACTCAGTGTTAAACTGTGGTTAAGAGCATATGTTTTGAAGTTAGTTCTCAGCTTGAGTCAGTGATTGGCCCACTCACTGTAAAATCCGATAAGTTGCTTAACCTGCCTGAGCCCCTATTTCTTCATCTGTAAATGAGAATAAAAATAGTACCTACCTCATAGAATTTTGAGATAAAGGAGATAAAATAAAATCACCTAGCATAGTGTCTTACATATAGTAAATATGTGATACATGCTATTATCATCATTTTAAAAGCAACTACATTTCATATTTTGCGAAGTTCTTATAAACATATTTCACATTTGCATCATTACAAATTCTTCCTCATTGTGTTCTCCAGAGAAACAGAGTTCCCCATTCGCACCCTGACTAATACAGACACAATGAGGAAGAATTGATATAGAGAGATTTATTATAAGGAATTGGCTCACATGATTACGGAGACTGAGAAGTCCCACAATCTGCTGTCTGCAAGCTGGAGACCTGGGAAAGCCTGTGGTGTAATTCAGTCCTAGTATGAAGAGCTGAGAACCAGAGGAGCCAATGGTGTAAAATCCAGTGCCAAGGCAGGAGAAGATGAGATGAGATGAGATGTCCCAGCTCATGCAGCGAGGCAGGAAAAAGGGGACAAATTCCTCTTTCTTCTGCCTTTTTGTTCTATTTAGGCCTTTAATGGATTGGATGATGCCCACCCACATTGGGGAGGGCAATCTACTTTACTGAGTTCACAGATTCAAATGGCACACTCAGAAATGTTTTATCTGGCTGTGGCCAGTAAAGTTTACATGTAAAATTAACCAGCACAAAGTGTTAAAGTTTTCCTCATTGCAATTGTTATTCATTATTTTTTTTAACATCTGCAGAATGTGATATTGTATTCCTCTTTTAAGTTTCTTTTATTGGTGTCTGTGTGAGTGTGTGTGTGTGAACGCCTGTTTCTTTCTTTTTTTCTTCTATCAATCTCAACAGGTATAGTTTCCAATTTGATTAGTCTTTTCAAAGAAAGAATCTTTGGCTTTGTTGATTCTCTCTCTTTCTCCTTCTGTCTTTTTTTTCTTTCATTAATTTTGGTTCTCTCTTTATTACTACCTTCCGTCCAATTTCTTTGTATTGAATTTGCTGTTCTTTCTCGAACTTTTGTATGGATGTTAGACACATGAAATTCACTCCTTCTTTTTCTCAAGTACGTGTATTTAAGGCTATCATTTTAATGTATTTTCATTGTTGTTCAGTTCAAAGTATTTTCTAATTTCCATTGTGAGTTGTTCTTTGATTCATGAATTATTTACAAATGTAATTCTTAATTTATAAGTATATGTGTGTTTCTAGTTATCCTTTTATTTTAAGTTTTAGCTTTATTCCATTATGATCAGAGAACATATTCACTGTGATTGCGATTTCTGATTTTTATCTGCTTCTTCCCATACTGAGAGAATTGTATCAAAATTTTCCACTGTATTCTACTTACAATTCTGTAAACATTTTATTTGATGTGTTGGAGCCATGTTGTTAGGAACAGATAGATTTAAAATTGTTATATCTTACAGGTATATGGTCCGTTCAGTGTTGTTTTCTCTTTTCTTTCTTTCCTACTTTTAGACTGGTTAAATACTTTCTATTATTTCATTTTTTTATATCAATTTGGAATTTACTCTTTTACTAATTTTCTGGTAGTTACCGTAGAGATTGCATGAATTCTTCACCATCAAAGTCTAATATTAATTGGCCTTTTTATGTTCTTCCTGGGCAATATAAAAATCTTAGAATATTCTTCTGCTCTCTTTACTTCATCCCCAATTTGCATGCTATTACTTTTGTGTACTTTAATGATGACACATATTTTTACACATTTTAACATCTTTAAAATTGGCATTTGTCTTACAGCTGATGGTCTTTTATAATCACTGTAGGCCTGGATGGAAGTTGAGCCCTCTCAAGAAGGATTAGCATTTGTTTCTGGTAGTCAAAGAGAGGCATCCCTAACCTGAGACCACTTAAATTACACACTCCACTTGGATTTTTTCTGGAATACACTGGTATTATGGACTCAGAGAGGTGAACTATATGAGTACCAGCTTGTGATTCAAGTTCTCAGAGGATATAGTTTTTTCCTCCCATCTTCTATGTGGTGGCAAGATTGAAATATGCACTTTTCATTGTTACTCTTTTCTGTTTGGCAGTTTGATTTATTTATTCCTGCACTAAAATAGCCCTTTATTTTCCATTAAATTTTCATCTTTGATGAATTTATTTCACAGTATTAGATTAAATAAATGGTACATCAACAATTTATGGTATCTTGGATTGAAAAATATGTAGCCCTAGGAAACAGTAACTGTATAGATTTATGCAGTCAATTCATCTAGATTTTCGCAAGTATGTATAATTTTCATTGTTTCTTATTCCTTTCTGCCTCTCCTACCTTCCATTTTGAATCATTTTCTTAAATCTGGAGAATGTTCTTTAGTATCTCCTTTAGAGTCGAAGTTTTAGGGTTGAATTCTCTGTTTGCCTAAAACTGTCTTTATTTCAACGTTTCTAAAAAAACATTTCCTTTGAGTATAAAATTAGAGATTTGTATTATTTTTCTCACAGCCATTCAAAGATACTATTATTTTTTCTGTTTTTTATTGTTGTTTTTGAAAGATCAGCTGTTTGAAGGTAATACATGTTTTAAATCTGATGTCTTTTTTCAGCTTTGGAAAATTCTCAGTCATATTTGCTTCAAACGTTGCTTCCTCTATGTCTTTCTTCCTTTCTTCTGGGATTCCAGTTGTGTGCAATGTAGACCCATTTGCAATCCTATACGTCTCAGTTGCTTTTTTCTCTTTTTGCTCTAATCTAGATATTTACTTCTCATTTATCTTCCAGTTCATTGACTTTTTCTAATCTATCGCTAAACTGCCGTAAAAGCCTCCATTAAATTTTTTATCATAGCTCTTTTTAATACTTTTTTTGTATGTTTTTATGACTGTGCCAATAAGCAGACAAATGCAGAGACCAATATTGTCAACACTCTATACCTAGCACCCAGATTTAACAAATGATGTTGACGTTTGGACATATTGGGACATATTCACACCATCTTCTCTTCCCTTAAATAAATACAATGTGGCAGATGCAGTTGATACCACCCTTCCTCTCCATTGTTTTCCAGAAGTTACTTCTACAGTGAAATTGGTGAATATCAATTTTATCCAGGGTTTTACACTTTACTACCTACTTACCTATTGTCTGTAAACCATAGTATTTTCCACGTTTTTAATTTAAATATATAGTAGTCTTGTACAACTTATTTTAGTCACTCAATATTTGATTGTTCCCTGTTATTCTGTAATATAAACAGACCACGATTTATTCATCCATTGCCTTACTGATGGCAATTAGGTTGTTAGCAATTCATTGATCTTTTAAATAATGTTATAATGCATACCTTTGATAGGCCTTCCTGAGCACATGTTCAAGAATTTTTCTACAACACATAACTCAACGTGCAACAGCTGCATCATAGGCTATAAACATCTTTATATATTCTTTTAGAAATTGTCATACTGCTTTCCAAATAGAACTATTTACAACGCCACAAGAAGAAAATATGAAAGTTGCCATTTCTCCCCATCTTCACCAACACTTGAAAACACTATTGGTTTTCTAAGTTTTTAATTTTGTTTAGTAAATTTTTCAGTTCTGTGATTTCAACTTCTTTCTCAAATCTACCCTGTTGCTATTTTTAATTCCTGGCTTTCTTCCAACATTCTCAACATTATCTTTTAACTCCTGGAATACACTAAGTATAGTTGCTTTAACAACTATTTATTTGGGGCCGGCCTGGTGGCGCAAGAGGTTAAGTGTGCGCGCTCCGCTGCGGCGGCCCAGGGTTCACTGGTTCAGATCCTGGGGGTGCACAGACACACCACTTGTTAAGCCATGCAGTGGCGGTGTCCCATATAAAGTAGAGGAAGGTGGGCATGGATGTTATCCCAGGGCCAGTCTTCCTCAGCAAAAAAGAGGAAAATTGACATTGGATGTTAGCTTAGGGCTGGTCTTCCTCACAAAAAATAAATAAATAAATAAAACAATTTAAAACCACAACTATTTGATAATTCCAATGTCTTATACTCATGTATGTCTGTTTCTATTATATTTTTCTCTTATTTTTCATTCATGTTGATTTGTTTTCTTATATGCCTGATTATTTTTGATAATCTGCTTAACATTTTATCTGAGAATTGATTTGAAGGTTGCAGGGTGGCTTTTCATTTGTTTCTGGCAGGCACCATTGGGTGTGAATGGTACAAACTGCTGAATATGATCACATTTTGATTTTAACACCACTTAACTCTTTATTTTTCACTAGCCCAAGATCAGCGAGTTTATTAACAATCTTAACAAAATATATTTCCTACTTTTCTATAGCAATTTTTTGTCTTGAATTTTATTTTGCTCCTTTAAACATACGACTATAGGATTCTTTCCAAAATCACAAATGTGGGCCCAAATTAACATTTTGATATGTTACCGCCCCTTGGTGGCAGTAACTTAATCTAGTTCTGTACATACCCAAAAAACTCTTGAACGTCAAGGGAAATTTTTGCAGAACACTGAATAGTGTTCTCCCTGAAGCCTGGATCCAAGTTGTTTCATGCCCTTAGCCTGGTCATTTCTACAGAAGAATTCTCTCAATCCTCCAACCTCAGGATCAAGAAGAGATAGATACCCAAGATGAAGAGTACTAGACCATAGCTTTTGCAGTGAGGCTCAGTGAGGTTCTTTGAGCTTGACTAATTAACATTGCTACCTCAGGAGACTGAAAAGCAAATAGAACAGAGCCATGCTTCCACTTACCCATGGTAATTATCATAATTGTCTATCACGATATTGAAATATAATTCTGCCTTCAGGATGCATTAAAATAAATAGAGTTGTTTGTCCTGCCTTTAAGTGGCCTTGATATCTATGTTCTTTGTTTAGTTTTAGCTCCCTTTTAGCATTAACAATCTAGTTGGTCTACTCACTATATACACCCAGTAATAGTTTCACTATACTGCTGCTTTTTTTTTTTTTTTT